TTGCTGGCACTATTCCGCCCTTCACATTTCATATTTCATCGTACATACTTTTACAACTGCGCATTGTATCACTTCTCTCTACGTCCAAGCTCTGCATGATTTTCGTCACTGATTTTCAAACATGACTTACATTATTCATTCGTTTATTTAATTCACTCCACACCACTTTCCTTATTATTGCAGGATTGAGACGATTCAAGTGCATCCCTTGCAGGGGCAGCTATCAGTTCTTCTGCTGCCTCCAAATTCAGTGGCAAGTTATTTACCTTTCTTTTATTCGTACATAAGTACTTTTACGTCTTAGAGCTATCTGTCGAACTACGTTTAAATGAAAATACCAGCCAAAATGTTAAGCAGCCATCAAATTAGGATGAAAAAATTGTCCATAATTGTGCTTATTTAATGCATACTAAATCAAATCTGCAAAGTGTGGGCCTGTGTTCTTTTTTAGGTCTGCTAATTCGCCATGTTACTGACGTTTGGTGCTTAAATTTTGTTCACCATTTGTTTAAAACTAGTATTTCATTAGTCACGCTTGAGGTGCTTTCTTAACTCTTTCTAATTGGATTGCGATTCCTGCATGCGAATATCCCAATGGACCTGACTGTGCTAGATGTTATGCTATGAACATCACAGATAAGTTAGCCCAATCCTTTGACCTACCATGCGTGGCAGGATGTCAGTCTTTGATGCCCCTTTAGGAACAGCAGTGAACAAAAATATTTTTCTTTTAGATGTAATTGCCTGGAGGACTTGATTTTAATTGGTGATTCTTTATAGGAGCCTGCTGAAAACTACTATTCATTTATCGCATAAAGACAGAGGATAGCACGAGTTACATAGCTTTATTGTAACCTTTGTTCATTAAGGAAAAGGATATTTAAACGGTGTCTGCTTATCGTAGTCTTCTTTAGCCATATATCTTAAACCCTCTTCGTCTAAAAAAAAGGCCAAGACAATCTATTAATAGGCATGTCATGATATTCCATGGAATACATTAGAAAGCGTGGTGATTAAAGAGGTGGCTACGTGAGGGCAGAAGAGGGAAGGAGAGAGTGGAGGAGGTAGGAGAAATAAAGTGTAGAGGCCATGGATTTGTGAAGGCGGTCCAGCAACCCCATCGATGTGCAACCTGGACCGACGTAGCACAACCTCGACAGTGTGGTGGAAAGCGGAATTTTCTGTGTGCTCTATTCCCTAACCTTTATTTCTCACCCTGTCAAACCAATTACGCTTTATAACTTCCCTCTGCATTTCTGCTTGCCTTGCTTAGCCCTAGCGTCTTCTGCACTTGCATTCTCATTTTCATTCGTTCATTCCTTGTTCTCTCTATTTCTCCCTTTATCGCTTCTTTTGTTTTACGTACTTGCTATTTCAGGCAAACACACGATAATTCAGTTTGCATTTGCGGAGACCAAAAGTGCATTAATGCTCGCTTGACACACGAGGGCTCCCTTCTCTGACCGGCATTTGCACCGTTAGTGAGGCTCAACGGATAGATTTCTGCGTAAAATCACGGTGTTGTTCGAAGTTGCACTTACCTCTGTCGCTTAAGCACTGACTTTGCTGGGGTTATCAAGTTACTTAGTCTCAAACATTATAATGTCCATTTGTCAACCCACTATTCACTGCCCACAGAGCAGTGTCAAAATTAATTAAAATGGATAGAGATTGACGAATCAAAAAATATTGGACGATTGCTATTGTTCTGAATATCGTGACAATAAATCTACACCTTTATTGACTAAGCAGGTAGGAGCTGTTACCAGAGTTAGACGGATGGATCCGTCTATGCATAATTAATTACCTGTTAACAAATAATTCTACCAGCACTATTAACACGAGCATTAGATTTGATTAACCCACTCCCAAGGGCTCTTGACTGCAAAAGACCAAATCTGTGCAAATCGAGTCCACCGACAGGTTACGAGTACTCATTAATTGCTAATTTACATTACAAAACTGAATGCAGAGGCGCTAAATTAACATACTGTTTATTTTGCTTGACACACCAATAAAGAATACAGACATGGAATGTTTGAAACCTAGGCTGGGCTTTGACTTTCAACTTTCTGACAATTATAATCAGGCTAATGGAAGAATTCTAGCATTTACAACATCATCCCTTTCCTACGTGACAATCAGGGGATCGGAAGAGTCAACAAATCCTGCCACGAGGTGTACTGCGATTGTGAAAGCAAAATTTGATAACTACTACTTGATTATACGTGCTGGAATTGCCCATTTTGAAATGCAAAGCATAGAAGTATTGTGTACATGTCTGCTCCAGCACCATTAAATATCATGCTGTAGAAAGTTTCACTGGTAAAAATTTGTGATATGAGGAAAAATGAGGTATATGTTCCCTTAGGCTTTCGAGCTTTAAATGCATCCAACTTTGATATTGTATTTTACTGGTCGAAAGCAACATCCTTGGCAAAATTTATTTGGGGAAATGCGTTAATCAGATGAAGTACATTTTGAAATTGACTTTGATCTCTATGTCATAATTCTTTATTTTAGAATTAGAAAACATAGATAATAGTGATAATGTCTTCGCAACTTATTTGCAATGACATGGTCATCATGGGAAACGACACTAATTGACACAGTGTAGTTACTTCCATCGCAGCATTTGCCACCCATGCATAAAATGACTTGCACTCTTTCCTTCTTTGTCTAGCCCATTCTCAGTGCTAAGCAGTTCTAGTGTGATCTTGGTTCGACCCCTTGTTTATTCTAAGTCCACGAGTTTTTTGCACGTCATGGTGTAAACATTTACCTCTACTACACTGTTCCCAAATATCGCCTTATCTTAGATAAAAATAGAAAAACAAATGATTGTGGTTATCACTGTTTGTCCTGCTGGCACTGCACGTGCTCAGAAGCTAATGCAACTGGAACAGGTAAAGTAAAATTAATAAAGGATAGCTGTACTGAAGTATTGATGCATACAAACCCAGGTTAGATCCACAGCCATGCCTTAGACATTCAGCTGCTGTTCCTATGAAGCCAGGTACGTGCACACACCTAACGTAGGTGGTGAAAGAATGTAGAAGTAAGAGGTCAATTTTGACATTAGAAATTCCAGCCTCCTCATTTCTGCTTCACATCTATGAAAAAACATGTGAGCGTTCACTTCGTTTCAACTGATCGTGCGCTTCTACACTTCTTACTTTGCTTATTTCTTAACATAAATGAAACATTCCAATGCACGCTAACGAGCTTTATCCACATTCACTATAATAACAAGTTAAAGAACACTCGTTCACTGCAATAATGGAAACTGGCTTGATGTATTAGTGTAAGGAAGAATGATATGGATTGCCCAATGGTTACATGAGTAAATGAGTAGATAAATGGTTTAAGAAATAATTAAATAGGAAATAATTTAGTACGCAGAGTCTTTATTCAGATTTTTGGTAAACAATCCCAGCATGAAATCTGAATCATTATTAGCCTATAGGGATGAGAAAATTGTACATGCATGACTCTCCATCTATGCCGCCGTGCAATGTATATTTGAAGACAGACGAACCCATTTGGCCTAGTATTTATTTGGACAGCACATTTAATCACTTTGAAAAAAGGCATAGACTCCACTGTCCGTCAGTGGATTTTGCCAACATCCTAGGATTGCAAACATTTCTCCTTACCTACCGTCTTCTGCGTCATAATATCTTAGACCGATGTGGACCGTTTAAAATCTACAACGCCCACAGACATACAAACATAGATCTAGCTGCACAATAAGTCATTGTGTAGAGTGTAATATCGACATGCAGGTTTTGGAGTCAGTCTCATTAAAGCGATTGCAAAATGGCAAGTCACGACGAGTCGTACCTCATCGCCTTCTACTTCTGTTCGATTGCGTTGCGCAGGACGCCCATTAAGCGAATGCGTTAGGCAACGCCTTCTAAGAGGCAGTAGTGATTGTTAGGTCTGTGGTAGTGCCAAAGAAATTGTGCAAAAACATATGAGTTTAATTGCATCAAATTGGGTCTTATAAACCACAACAATTTGGCTGTTATTGACTTCCTAATCTGCGGAGGCAACGACAGGCTAATAGATTATCTAGAACACAACTTTGCTCAAGAATGTTTAAAAATTAGCAACACTATGATTGAAGTATTTGATTGTGATCTTATGATATGTGCAGGATAGAGAAGCTGATATATCAGGCGCGTATTTGTAAATCTCACGTTTGTGTCTGCGTAAATCCTCTGACATGCAGTGTGTCTTAGGAATGCTGCAGCCCATGTAGTTGATTTTAGAAAGCAAACTTGTGCAAGACAAATAGTCTTTTTAGGTGCAATATAAAAGCATTTGGAAAAATATGGAAACTAGTAAGTGGAGAGATAGCAATATTTGGTTTCGTTATAATAAAATTTGTTTGTATATCTCAAGGCGCATTACGGTAAGCATTATTTAAAGAATATGGAAAAATAGTAGCGGCTATTAGTTTAAGCTTTGGTCTAAATAATAAAGCAGTGGTTTAATCCTATGTCAGAGCTCAAAAATCATCCATCAAAGACTCTATCGTTAGCATTATTGTGTCTTTCCCTTTTCCTTCACGTCAGACCACCTTTTTTAGGTGCTCCAGACATCGCCCTCACACTCAACGTCATTTACGACAACAAGGTATGAATTGCGCACACAGCGTTCAAGATTTCTCTCCTATTAGAGACTTGTCAAAAAGTCCCAACTTAGCCACAACTAGTTTTGTTTCCAATTATAAATTTTGGAAACCGCTTGCTTAAACCTCTGTAAATAGTGGAGAAATAGAACAATGAAGTTGACACTAAAGCGCTAACTGCCATCTTGATCAAATATTTGCAATTCGAAGGCCAGGTAGTTCCAGTCTGTTTGCTTTCCGTAGTATAGCCTTGTTGAATTGGTTCGAAAAGAGTCCCCACAATGATACTCGTCAGACAGACACTTTTGGAGAAAAATTACTATCTTAACCAGATGCCTTAGGTTGGCTTGCTCATCTTCATTCCGACGTAATTTTTGGCATCATGTGAAGGAGGCCTATAAAGTCACTTTCTTTTGACACATTCTGCTGATACATGACTGTAGCACAACAACGTTAAGGCATACTCTTCACATGTCATACTACTCAGTTGTCTTTCACCCCAAAATGCTGAAAATTGTCTCAAGTTTGCAATATTTTGTGCCGACGATCCGTCGGATTTCATTAAGTAGCGTCGACACATGCGTCAACTTAAGCTTCTCTTGGACACCGGAACTCGATGCTTGCGTCGCACCAGATGTAGGGCTTAAATAAACATGCATCATTAATAATGCCGACTAGGATCTCGGTCGTCAAAGTGGCTTTTAGAACATTTTTGTAGTCACTCAGTCTCTCTGCATTCTAGTAATATCTTTTCTGTCCTAATACTGTGGCTTCTGGCCACCTTGGAAACTACTCAATGCGCTACGTTGCAATAAAGCAATCGCGGAGTTCCCACATTTATTAATGTGGAGTAAGTTATGGTTATTTTGCTCAGGAAAGCACTTAGATTTGACTCTTTAGCCGTAGTTAACCTCAGTTTATACCTTTAACTTATTAATTCTCTCTTTTATCTCGGGCTTCAGACACTTAGACGGGAAGGCTGAGTAGAGGAATGCACATTATGATACAGTAGTACGAGGAGGCTTAGAGGTTACTGAAGTCTGCTGAGAACCAGAGATTGCGACCGCCTTGCTTAGACCATGAGTGTGTGCAAAACTGACCACTTACCTTACCGATGGTTGCTTGATTGACCTTCTGTTACGTGTTGTTGCCAGATCAAAGAGGGTGTGCAAGTTGACTGAAGCGTTCAAATGAGAGTAAAATGTCGGTTGATGACACTTAAAGGGGCTTTGTAATGGCCGGATTACGTTCTGTCACCTTTATTTTGGCAGCTTTAAATAATTTCAGGTACCAGTCGGTGTATCTGTTCTAGTTGCAAATTGAGAGATAATGAGGGAGGGCAATGAAGTCTCAACAATTAGCCTCTCAAATGACTCACTTTTGCTTTGTTTTCCTTCAAATGCATTAATATGCCACACATATTACCCATCCACAAGCTCCATATTTTTTTATTTTTTATATGAATTTCCGTAGCGAATTCGAATATTCACCAACACTTTTCATGGTTAGACGTCTACTTTCCTATTTACCTAAACAAGCAAAAATGGCCAAAATTCTTTACCCGCGGTTTTTGTAATGCAAAATCTGTGTAATTAAATTGTTGATTTTTCATAAGAAATCAACGGTAACTTACTACATAGGTCACTAAGTTAATTGGTTCCAATTTGACAACAAGCTAATATCTGGATTACTCACTGTGTAACATTTTCAATCCCTTATCGCTTCTGTACAAACCAAAATTTACTTTGGGTAAATAGAATGATTAGAAGGGATCAGTCTCTGTAGGTAACAGGCAGATTAATTGAAGAAAAAACACCCTCTACCACACAAGAGGTAATGTAAAAAGAATTTATATCAGGCATTGTACAAAAATTGTGCTGAAGACACGTTCTTGAGGAAAAATGGAATTATTGACTTCAAAGACGACAATTCTATGCTTTAAGTACCCGCTTATGCAAAGCAGGTGCTCACAGGGCAGAGAATTGGATATTAAATTAGGCTGCGTTATGAAGTTTTTCACACCCATTGTGCAAAATCATTCAGGTGGATGCGGACATGTACAATACTGACTGCAATAGATCCGCATGTGTCAAATAGCCTAAAGATGTATGTGCATCATATCCTTAACTCTGCAGAGAATAATGATGTCAATTAAGTCAGTGTTGACTGCTGCACCATACCACGACCATAATATGCACCACGACAAACCTATTTCCAAATTTTCTACTTATAAGAGGAGGTGGAGGAAGAGAACTCTGTCTTACGATAACCTTTGGAGAGCCATTGGAGACTGTGTTGAAGTACCTGCAGAAATCAGGCCCTACCAACCTCACTTCCATAGGAATGCTGCAATCACAAAAATATCTTAAAATAAATGAATGGAAGTTGGAAAAAGGCGGATAATCGTGTGGCAATATCTCACCTAGTGTGCTTTAGTACGCTCTTGTATCTCAGCATGGATAAAAGATACAACTCTAATATTTTCACGGTTGCAACTGGGGACCACATTTGTGGTTTATTAATCTGGAGGCAAACATATGCTTATTTAAGTAGTGTGACTTGAGTGCCGACTAATCAGATGGCAATTACTATTACATGACTCATGCATATAAGCTACATACCAACTTTTTGTCTGTACTTCTGCCGTGTGAATATGGTGTCACGATTCCTCGCTAAAGTCATTAATCACTCTTTTAATATTCACTGATATGCAAAGTTGAATAGGATTAACTAATGCATATAAGAGTAGGGATTCCTTCAGTCAACAGGGAGTCGAAAGCTGATGAGCAATTATACACTTTTGGACCCTGCAGCCAATGACTGCATATAAATCTGTTTGCCTGAATTTTCATGTATATAAAACGGAAAGGGTGGGGTATGTGAGTAGGTAGAGAGAAAGGAATAAAAAGAAGCTCATGTTTGTGAGAGTCGACAAGGATAAGGTAGGGGTATTCGGAGGCAGGTAGAAGTAATACGAAATTGAGTTGGTCTAAGAGAGTGCAGAACGAAATGTGAGAATGACAGGGGGCTAGTTAAGGCTTCGTCGGACCTTTGTAGTGCAAGCATGGATGTAATTCGTGGAACACTTGGGGTTGCTGGCCCACAAACACCCGTCCTATGCCTGTACCCCTCATACTACTTCGCCTACCTACTTTACAATTTTCCTTCTTCTCTTACTCTCTACCCTCATATCACCACCTCTCCTATCGCATCGCTTTCCAATGTATTCTATCCCTTTGCATAGCATGTTTGTCAATAAAGTGCATCCATCAGCGATTTCTGCGTAGGCAGCCATGTTGGTGGTACTGCTGCATCTTCTCTTCGCCATACTCCCCTTGCTATTGTGTGTTTTAACATCAGTGCAGTTGCATTCATGCTCGTGCCATACAGCTCTACCAAATACTTTCCATGCGCATTCCCCACCGCATTCGCCTCCACCACTTCTGCTGGCAATTGTATAATGAAGACGTTGAGGACCATAAATGGAGTAGGACAGGGAGGTAGGGGAGCAATTGTAACTACTTTGACGTGTTTTGTATTTGGTGCCAAGAAGGCGGGGTAGAATGGATAGAGAGAAGTAAAGCATGCAGCAATGAAGCAATGAAGGAATGCAAAACTCAATGAGTGAGTGAACGAGTGAGTGATGTGTTGTGAGGAATTTAAAGACGAAAACCGTAGAGAGTTTGGATAAAGAGAAAGAGTTACAGTGCGTAGTTGGCTAGAAGAGTGCACACCGAAAGTTGAGACCTAAAGAGTGAATTAGCACCAGCAATTACACCATGCAGAAACCTTTGGTTCCGTCACACCATAGAGGTTATGCTACGTCGGGCCGGGTTAGTATATAACTTGGTGACGGATGAGGAACACTCGGGATCGCTGTCCCAATTAAACTCATTCTACTCCTCTGCGCTTTCCTTCATTTCCCCTACCTCCCCTACCCTCTTCTCTCTATTCTATTCTTCTCCACTTTCTTGCAGAAATATTTTAGTTTGATTTGAACTATTGTCTGTTAAAAAGGGCGATGGATGCATGCAATCAATTTAGACGTAGCTAACCTTTAAAAGATGCAAGCCACTTACCTTTTGACGAAATCTAACTGGTTTAAAATTGCAAATAGCTTCTGGTACCAAAACTCGTCAAAAATTCCTAAAATGGCATACTTGATTTGAATGAAATATGTGTATGTGAAAAAAGAAAAGTGCTCTCAATAGATATGCACTGCTCAGAAGATTCACAGCCTACTAAAAGTTCAGTTCTACCGTCTTTATCTTCCATACCGAACTGGTGCTTAAAGGAGCAGTTTTGTATCCGTCCCCTACTTTTCTAGCAGTTGGAATCTTCTCCAATGTCTGCTCGATCTGATCCTAATCGATGTTTCCAAATTTGAGGATTTGATATTGGGTCCAACTCAAACGGCACCTCTTGAGGCTTGTTACATGACATTCGGTGCATTGGCAGGAGTGAACAGCACTGCCCGCATCTTTAGGATGCCAAGTCTGCATTTAGCATAATGAGCTGAAGGCGTGATCGTTCACTACAAATGCAGCACAAATGCGCTGAAGTTTATCTCCATGAATAATTTGTAGAAATGAACAAGAATAGCAAATCAGTGCGCGAATACAATGCAAAACAATTTTTAACGCAAATTATTCACTTATCATCACCACCTCACCATCATCTTCCTCTATGCCGTGACGCGATGAATAGAAAATGGTTTACGGCGGGCTGCACTGCAGTTGACAATGCCAAAACCACTTCCACAAAACATTCTGACCTGCCGAGAGAAAAATATTAACTATTTAATGGTTCGCAAATAGCATCAAATATTGGCATCACAGTGCATCATGATAGGTGAAAGGGAAGGGCTCATTTGTCTTCAAATCTCAAGAATAACGGTCTCTGATAGTTGGACTCATTACAATAATTGCATATAAGGAGATCAACCAAATTTACAATATCATCCCTCCAGACACTGATGCCACTGGAAGCCCACATAAGATGAAATGTTAGTTCAACGCAACGAAGCGCTCGGATTGTTCGCACATCCATCTTCTCATCCATTCATTCACGCATTCATCAATCCATCTACATACCCCTACAGGCAGCACTTTA